CTATTGAGATTTCTCAATAGCATGATGATTGCACCCACTTTCAATTTTAATTTATGACACGGCATTCCCGAAGGAATAATACTATTCAGAAATTCGATGGGGAAATTTTCCTTTGTTTCTTTGTTATGGGGTGGGGCCAGAACATTAGTAACAAAGAAACAGAATTAAAACTTTATTTTGGGGAGCCGCTGCAGTGTTTTGGACAGGTTCAAGCCTTGGACTGATGAGAGGGCACAGTCCTCTCATTGCCACGTGCAAGTCCCAGCTTGGAGGGCAGGGACCTCCCAAGATGAAGTCTTTACAGATAAAAATAATAATCGCAATTAGTGGTGAATATTTTAAATATTTAAAAGAAGAACCTTTGGCCCTTAAAAACTATAGAAGTCTCATTTTTAAAAAAATAAAAGATTATAGTACTAATATGAGCAATTATTATTTAGGAAAACTAGCCCAACAAACAGTCTACTGACTTATTCTATATACTTGCAAAAATAAAACTTGGGTCTCTTCAAATACAGAGTGGGGCAAAAGTAGGTTTGCAGTTCTTTGTATGGAGAATAATATAAAATAAATAATAATATAAGAAAAACTGTGTTTCACATATTCACAACTGTAAACCTAATTTTGCCTCACCCTGTATATAGTACAACATTTTAATTAGTTGGATTTGTCTTTACCTTTTGTAGTCTAAATTACTGAGTTGTTCCTGGACATGGCAAAAATTAGAAGCTACATACAATTTCCAGTATTCCTAAAATATGCTCTCTTTAACTCGAAAATAATCTGTAGTCACCCCTTTCCATCTTTTAATTTCTTTTGCGCATTTCTTAGGACCCATTAAAACCAGCTATTTTAAAATGACCACTTCTCATTTTTAACCAAACATATAAGAAAAACCTAATAAATAAGCTTTAGAAATATATTTTATGATCAATTTGATTTTTATATCATGTATTACAGTATAGTTTTAAGTTTTTACCTGAGGAGTTATAGATGATTGGATGTTTTTATCCTCCAACTGTTCATTTTCTAGTTCTGTGATGTCCATGCTAATATTTAAAAGAAAAATTATTTGAAAGAAAAAAACAGGACTATAATTCCATATGACAACAAACATAGTTAAGTGGAATTAATTTCTTAATGATTTTTTAAATAATAAAGTTGTATCATAGTCAAGTTAGATATCTTTATAGTCAAAACAGTTCCAATATTCATTTTAAAGTTATTAACCAAAGTCATGTGCATAAGTTTTTAAAAACGATTATCATACAGAAGTGTAATACTTCTCAATAGTTCATAATGCTGGGCATATCTTAAAAGCATATCCTAGAAAACATAGCTCTTTATTTCATGCTTGACATCATTACCACCATGGATTTACCCTATCTTCAGTCACACTCCTGCATAGGACATTTCAAGAAAATTTAAAATGAAACATGATCAACTATGTTAATACCTACATCTGTAAGTATTACTGGTGATGGTAGAAAGGTACTAACTGCAAATGGCATAAATAGTATTTGGAACTTATTCTAACTCCAGGTTTTCTACATAGGCTGTCTAATTCCCATTCTTCTTGTTTTTCTCTCTCTCAAAGGCAATTGGTAAACTATATCTTTACCCCAATAGCTTCAGATATATTACTAAGTTACAATGAAAAAAATCTCTTTTCCCTAGTTATGATCTTCCCATCTCAAAGTTTTATCTTTTGTAGAATGAGTTTATCTAGGGCAGTGGTTGGCAAACCGTGGCTCACGAGCCACATGCAGCTCTTTGGCCCCTTGACTGTGGCTCTTCCACAAAATACCACGTGCGGGCGTGCACGTAAGTGCAATTGAAACTTCACGGCCCATGCACAGAAGTCAGTTTTCGACCTGGGCGAGTCTATTTTGAAGAAGTGGCATTAGAAGAAGTGGAGGGTGTCGGTCGGTTGGGCGACGGGAGAAGTGGCACAGGCGGAGGAGGTGCCAAGTATCAACAGTACTTAAACTATATAGGTAGGTTAATAACAATGTACCTACCTATATAGTTTAAGTTTAAAAAATTTAGCTTTCAAAAGAAATTTTAATTGCTGTACTGTTGATATTTGGCTCTGTTGACTAATGAGTTTGCCGACCACTGATCTAGGGAATCAAATATATATATATTTGATTCATGACCAGACGGACGACCAGTCACCAGGAAATGCATGGAGCACCTTTGGGTCCCGCCCCTGCAGTTCAAAGACTCCTATCACAGCAAGGTTGGTGGCCCAGTGGGCAGGGCAAGGCAGGCGCCGACAGCAGGGCCTGGCTGCCAGGTGCTGCAGCCCACAGACAGAGAGCAGGGCCTGCCAGCCACAGCATGCCAGCAGTCCCGCTTCTGCACATAAGCTGCAAAGGAAACACCTTTTCTGACTGCTCACTGGCTTATTACTCAAGTTACCACTCACAGTGTTCTTGGTAACTTGGGTAATAAGAATCCAAGAAGGTGATCTAGGGTTTTTCCACCTCACTCCTGGAGGAAAAAACAAAGGTCCACTGCTGGAGGGGCTGAGAAATGTCATATCCTGCCCTAGCCGGTTTGGCTCAGTGGAAAGAGCCTCGGCCTACCAACCACAGGGTCCGGGTTCAATTCTGGTCAACGGCATGTACCTACGTTGCAGGCTCCTCCCTGGCCGGGGCCCAGGTCAGGGCTCATGCAAGAGGCAATCAATCGAAGTGTCCCTCTCACATTGATGTTTCTGTCTTTCCCTCTCTTTTCCACGCTCTCTAAAAATCAATGGAAAAATATCCTCAGGTGAGGAAAGAAAGGAAGGAAGGGAGGGAGGGAGGGAGAGAG